CTCAGCCTGGATTTGCACCTGCACTTTAGGACTGATTCTGGAGGCGTGTCCAGAATCCAAGTCCTGCTAATGAGAGTTCTGCTATGAGTTACTCAAAGCAGTCTGCTCCTCAAATAAATATTATTAAATAATTATTTTATATATGAATATTTCTGTTCAGTGCCCTGACATGACTTCTGTTGTGACTGGGCGCTGTATAAATAAACTGAACTGAATTAAATCTGATGAAGCAGATTCTACAAAAACATTTATATTTAAATCTAAAAAAGTTAAATCTGGTCCTCTGGACGTTCAACAAACAAAACAAACATAAAAAAATGTAGAAATGTTTCGTCTTTCATCCAAAAGACTTCTTCAGTCTGAGGTGCTGTATTCAGCTATTTATATAAGACTGAGCTGAATAAGCTCTTCAGACTGAAGAAGTCTTTTGGATGAAAGACGAAACATTTCTACTTTTTTGTTTGTTTGTTTTTGAACGTCCAGAGGACCAGACTTAACTTTTTTGGATTTTTCTACCTGGATTTTTGAGCATACGTCAGGATATCTATATTTAAAATTCTATATTTTTCTTCATCATTTGATGTATTTGCACTCATTGTGGTTTTGTTTCTTGTATACAGATTTTTTTCTTGTATACAGATTATTTTTAGCTTTGAACTAAAGTTTAGCTTTGATTTAAAGCTTTAATTTAAAGTGTAATGCTTGTTTAGTGATTTGTGTGTTAGAATAATGTTGAACCAAAGGCTGTCGCTTCTTTAAACTTGTTTTAGGGAACTATGAGAGATTCAATAATTTTGTCTTTTAATAATTTTTCAGTTGAATTAACTTTAATTAACAGATTATTTAATAAAATCAAAGGGAAAACAGGATTTCACAATAAAGCCGGCACCGTTTATTTATTTTTAATCTTCACTGATTAAAAAAAACATTTTTTATACATAAAATGTTAAAAAAAAAAAAAAAGTTTCCACCCCCGTCCCTCCATCCCGGTCCTCCCGCCTGCCAGGGCTCGAATCCGGCCTTTGTGAGCAGGCGAGGCCGGGGCTCGGAGTTCAGCCTCGTGGGCTTCAACGGCTCGGCAGCTCGTATGATCCTCCGCGGTGACTCCGCTCACTCGAATTTTATAGTCGATCACCAAACACAAAAAATGCCTGGACTTCAGAATTAAACACGGCGTTGTCATTATTGTTTTTAAAATCTTAAAAATAGATCCAACCGCTGCTCCGCATCCAGAGAAATTGCAAATGGCAGCTCAGTGAAAAGTTTCTAAGATCCAGTGACTCCACCCCCTGACCAGTGACTCCTCCCCCTGACCAATCAGAGTCCTACATCCACGTTTCAGTCCGGACTCAGCTCGACTGAGCTCGCTCGGTCCCACCAGAGAAGCAGGGACGAAGAGAGGTCCTGAATCAGCCTCAAATCAGCTAAATATACTAAAGGGCTGGTGCAAAAGGTTCTTTCTGTGGCGGGCTGCCCAGAATTGGGGCTGATTAGGGGCTGATTTGGGATATTTGTTTAAATAAAACCAGGATTCGGAAGAGTAATCAGCACAATGGTCACAAAGAAATACACAAACACTGTTCTGCTAGAATAATTGTGTCCTTTATTATTCCGCCACAGATATAGCAAAAGCAAAGCAATAGTACAATCACACTCAGATGTACAATCTCACAAGTATTGATGTAGGAAAAACTCTCACCGTGACACAAGGCTGGAGAGCCGGACAGCCTAGGCAGAGCATACACCAACACAATACCAGACGTCCCGATCGGAAGACTCACAGCAGACTCTAACTCTCTTCTGTGCGCTCCCTATTTAATACTTTCCACCCTCTACATTGCGTGAGAGCGTCTCCCAGTGAACAAAACATGCCCACCTGGACTAAAAACTGTGAGAAGCTTCGAAATGGCGTGAGAAACCTCAAGATGGCGTGAAAAACTGTGAGAAACTTCGAGATAGCGTGCGGGGGGGCGGCAAGCCTCCTCCTCAGGCCTCTCGGGTGACTCACAATAACATGTACCAAAAGCACTTTATATCACAAGTTAAACAGTCGGAAAAACAACATTTTATTAAATTCTTTATTCAGGGGCAATGCAAAAGGGGCATAAGCCTATAGCAGCATAACTAAGGGACAGCTCAGGAACCCAAGCCAACCCTAACTATAGGATTTTGCAAAAAGGAAAGTCTTAAGCCTATTAAACTGGACAATGTGTCAGCCTCACGGACAGAGACTGAAAGTTGGTTCTACAAGAGAGGAGCCTGAGAACTGAAAGATCTGCCTCCCATTCTGTTTTTGTAAATTCTAGGAACCACGAGTAAACCTGCAGTCTGAGAGTGAAGTGCTCTGTTAGGAAAATATGGAACAACAAGATCTGTAATATAAGATGGAGCTAGGTTGTTGAGAGCTTTGTAGGTTAGAAGTAAGATTTTGAATTATATTCTGGATTTGACAGGGAGCCAATGGAGAGAAACTAAAACAGGAGAAATATGATCTCTCCCACTAACTCCAGTTAAGACCTTTGTCATGGACAAAGACAATGGTGGACATGCACACTGTTGGACAGAGACACTGGTGGACAGGGACACTAGTGGACAGTGTCCACTTAAACTTAGTCTGCTCCTCAGTTAAATAGTGTTCTTACTTTTGATTGAGATGAATGTTTCTGTTCAGTCCCTGAGACGACTTCTGTTGTGACTTGGAGCTTTAGAAATAAACTGAATTGAAGTGACGGGGACATTAATCCTCCAGCAGGTTCTAGTTCATGGCAGGCTGGAGTCTTGGTATTTGTGGGGCTGCTCCTTCCTTCTGATGAGGACTGGGACGCTCCTTGAGTTCTGTCTAAATCCAACAATGATTTGCTGCAGTCTGTCATGATTACCAACAGGAAGTTAACATGCCTTGTCAAATTAAAAGGGGGCCGAGATGGGATAGACATAGGGCAGCCAACTTGGAACAGAATGTCACAGGTTCAACTCCCCGCCATGCCCACATGTCGTGGTATCCTTGAGCAAGGCACCTAATCCCTAACTGCTCCCCGGGCACTGACATAACTGCCCTCTGTTCTGTTGGATAATTTAATTATCATCAGCTCATTAAATAAATGAAGCATGCAACAAAATCAAAGGATTTTTTTAATCAAGCCAGGTTTTTAATCTTGCAAGATGGAGCAGCATTGTAATACAAGCATCAAACAGTTACATGGCACTTCATCTCACAAGGTCTGCTCAAAGAGAGCGTGTCTTTATGATGTTCTCAGACAGAGGCGAGCTCAACACAACTCTGCTTTCCAGCTTAGGGTCTTGAAGAACATCAGTTTCCTCTGTGAGTACACAGAAAGACTCTCTTGTCTTCACATACATGGTTGTATAACGTTTGACATTAGTAAGTGAAAAACATCCATGACCTTTACATCCCAATCATTCATCATCCCATCATACCAATGCAGGTTGCAGTCCGGCC